TCCCCTGGGGCTACCACGGTTGGGGGGCACCGGGAGCGGGACCATGGGCAGGGGAGGGAGGCTCTGCCCCACACAGGAGGGTCCAGGGACCCGCGGGTGTCCCGTAAATTGGGGGTGTGACCTTGAGGTGACCCCCGGGGGGGTCTCTGTGGACTGAGGGGGGGTCAGGGGGTGGCCGTACCTGTGCACTTGCGCACGGGGGTCCCGGCCCCGCCCGGGCCGTCCCCGTCACCCCCCCCGTGGGGGAGACGACAGTTGAAGTCGTCCTCCCAGAACTCGTGGAACCACAGGTTGCGCCGGTTGTTCTCCAGGGAGCGGGACGTGAAGTACTCGTCGAACCCTGGGGGGCACAGAGGGGGGCACAGGGGGGACCCAAGGGGTCATGGGGGGGTACCCGGGGCACAGGGGGGACCTAAAGAGTCACGGGGGCACCCAAGCATCACGAGGGACCCCACAGGGTCACAGGGTGTCCCACAGCGTTATTGACCCCCCCGCAGTGTCCCGGGGTGCTCTGCAGCCCCTCAAGGTGTCCCATAACTCTGTGGGGCAGCAATGGAGGGGCAGGAAGGTGAGAGGACCTTCCCCAAACACCTCCCCCCACCCACCTGGGGCTGAATGACCCCCTCCATGGTCCCATAGGGTGCCCCCCGGAGCCCCCTGTACCCCTCAGTGCCCCCAGACTCACCAGGCACTGAGGGTTGGGCAGGATGGTGATGGGACCCTCCCCCATAGGGTGCCCCCATAGCCCCCCAGGGCCCCCAGACTGACCTGGCACCGAGGCCCTTTTGGGCAGGATGGTGATGGCCCCGTGAGCCGCCTCCTCCAGCCCCTGCACCGGGGCCATCTTGGCCCCCCAGCTGTCCGAGCCCACCCAGGAGAAGTGGCCCGACAGGTTGGCCAAGGTGGCCGCCTCCAGCACCCGCCTGTGGGGACAGCGTCACTGGGGGCACTGGGACCGACTGGGAGGGGCTGGGAGGGGACCTGGAGGGACTGGGGGAGTCTGGGAAACACTGGGATGCACTAGTTTGGACCAGGGGGCTACCGGGAGGGACTGGGAGGGGATCTGAATGGACTGGCAGGGACCGGGAAACACTGGGGAGCTAATGGGATGGACTGGGACAAACTGGGAGGGGACTTGAATGGACTGAGGGGGAACATGGAATCACTGAGAGGGGACCTGAAAGGACTGGGGGGCTACTGGAAGGGACTGGGAGCTACTGGGTAGGGTCTAGGGTGGACTGCGAAGGACTGGGATGAACTGGGGTGGGCTGAGGAGCACTTGGGAGGGACTGGGAGGCTGCTGTGGGGGACTGGGGCAGTGCAGGGCGGGACCAGTCCATACTGGTCTGTACTGGTCCATACTGGGCTCACCGGATGTCGTCCTCATTGGCGAACAGCACCACCCCCCGCGCCGTCGACGTCTCCATCAGGCGCCCGATGACCTTGGCGAACTCCCCTGGGCGCGGCTCCCGCGGGATCTTGATGGACTGGGCGATGCACAGGCCCCCTGCGCCAGCATGGACCAGTATGGACCAGTATAGACCGGTACAGACCAGTAAGAACCAGTACAGACCGGTAAGAACCAGCACAGACTGGTACTGCCCCCCCAGACTCCAGTGACTCACTGGGGGTCACTGAGAGGGCAGCACCTCCCCCTCCCTGCAGGACCCGCCCTCCCAGTACATCCCACTATAACCCAGTGCCCTCCCAGTATAACCCAGTCACTTACTGGTCCCAGTGTCCCAGCAGTGGGGACCACAGGGAAGAATGGAGCTTGCCCTCCCAGTGCTCCCAGTACACCCCAGTGCCCTTCCCACTACTCCCAGTACATCCCGATGACCCCTTAGAGCTCCCGCAACATCTCAGTACACCTCCCAGTGCCCCCCAGTGCCCCTCCCGGTGCCCCCAGTGCCCACCAGCCTCCCTGGAGCTCTGCACGAAGGCCTCCACGCCGCTCTCGCCGTAGTTGCCCTCGGATGCCAAGGTGCTGACGTAGCTCCAGCCCAGCGCCCTCACCACGGCCACCATGGCCTGGGCCTGGTACGAGTCCGGCGGCACCACCCGCGAGAAGAACTCGTAACGCCCGGGGTCCGACAGCTCCGGGGCCGTGGAGGCGTAGCTGATCTGGGGGATCTGGGGACATTGGGGACATCAAGGACACTGGGGACACTCACAGGGGTCCAGTAACTCCGGGGGACATTGGGGACTTCAGGGGTGTGACAGCTCCGGGGCTGTGGAGGTGCAGCTGATCTGGGGACATCGGGGACATCGGGGACATGGGGACACACACAGGGGTCTCACAGCTCAGGGGCTGTGGAGGCACAGCTGATCTGGGGACCTTGGGGACACTGCGGGGCTCGGAGGCATCCCAGGGCCATGGGGAGATGGGAGGGGAATTGAGGGGCTCAGTGTGGGGTTGTTGAGGTGTGGGAGGGTCTGAGGACAGGGGGGACACTGGGGCCATTGGGAAGGGGGGGGCCCAGGGGACCCAGTGCTGAGGGACACCACCTCCCCCCTCCCCATCCCTGTCCCCCCCCACCCCGTCCCTAATCCCCCCTAATCCCCCTGGGCCATTTGCTGCCATCCCAGGGGATTGTGGGAACACCCAACACCCTCGGAAGGGGGGGATGGAAGGTTCTGGAATGGCTCCGGGGGGATGAGGGGGGCCAGGGGAGCGACCAGGTGCCCAGGCCCCCCCTCCCCAAAGGGAAGGGTCATGATGGGACACCCTGGGGACACCATGGGGATGGTGCTGTCCTGTGGCTCCCTCCCCTGTCCCCTCAGTGTTCCCAAAGCCTCCTCACCCCAAATACTCCCCACAGCCCCCAAATGACCCCAGCACCCCTCAATTCCCCACCACAAACAGCCACAGCACGTTGGCCACCACGACGGACACGGAGCTGGCCAAGGCACCAACGACCCCCCACATCCCCAAAGTCCCCAAGTCCCACCAGTGCCCCCCACAACCTCCCCCCTCACCGCGAAGAGCCGCAGCACGTTGGCCACCATGATGGAGACGGAGCTGGCCGAGGCGCCGATGACGCCCACCAGGCGCTCGGGCGGGGGCCGGTACGGGACGGAGCCGTCGGGGCAGCGGCCCTCGCCGCCCTCGGGGGGCAGGAGGCTGCGCACGAAGCTCAGCGCCTGCTCCAGCGCGTAGGTGTCCCGGGAACAGGTGTCCAGGATGCGGGCGCCCAGCGTCAGGTTGGGCAGCACGCGGGGGTCGCCGTTGACGCGGTCCAGCGCGTACAGCATCGCCTCCAGCCGGTGGATGCCCTTCTCCTTCTTCACCGGCCCGCACGGCACCCCCGCGGGGCCGCGGGCGTGCACCGGGAACAGCCCCCCCAGCGTCAGGTCCCCCTCCAGCCGGATGGCGTGGGGCTGCGTGGGGGCCGGGGGGCAGCGCCCGGGGGGCAGCAGGGACAGCAGCGTCACCGCGGGCAGCGCCAGGGGGGGCAGCGGCAGAGCCATGGCCGGGGCTGGGGGGCGGAGGAGGGGGTTAGGGGGCACAGGGTGGGCTGGGAGTGCCCTGTGAGGGGGCACCAAGGGTGGGTGGGCAGCACCCCCGTGGGTGGGGAATGGCACCCTGCGGGCTGAGGGGGCACTGGGGGTGCAGGGGTACCCCGAGGGGCTGGTTTGGGGCCGAGGGGCACAGGGACAGGAGGGTCACCAGGATGGGGGTTTGGGGGTTATGTGGGGCACTGGAAGGGTACCCGGGGGTGAGGGGTGATGGGGGCACCCTATGGGGTGTGGGGGTGATGGCACCCACTGGGGTGGGGGTCATACCCCATGGGGGGCAGGGGTCACCCCATGGAGCAGAGGGCAGCACCCTATGGGGGGGCTCCCTTTGGGGAGGGGAGTTAATGGCACTCGTCAGGTTGGGGGGGCACCTGTGGGGGCCTCTCTATGGGGTTTTGGGGGTAATGGCACCCACTGGCGTGGAGGGGACCTCTGATGGGGCAGAGCGGCCGCCAATGTGAGGAGCAGCTCCCCGTGGGGTTGTGGGGGGATCAGGTCCTCCCTCGGACAGAGATTTGGGGTCCCCAGCCCCCCCCGAGGGGTCCCGCTGCCCCCTCCCCGCTCACCTGGGCCGTGGGTGCTCCGGGTCCCTGCGGAGCCGCCGGGGAATGAGGGGCGGGAGCAGCCCCTGCCCCGAATCCCCCGAATTCCCCCAAAATCCCCCTCCAGCTGCTGATGGGGAGGGGCAGCCCCCCTCCCCCGCTTTGGCTGAACTCCCACGGCTCCCTGAGCTCCCCAATTAAACCAGATGTTAATTATTGGGGGTGTGTGTGGGAGATTTGGGGTGCCCCCCCCAAACAAAGGGGACCAGGGGGTCCCATTGAGGGGCTGAACCCCCGGAGAGGTTTGGGGGAGGTTGGGGGGGCCGTGGGGGCCCTTAATCCCCCCAGCTGCTGGATTAGGGGGTCGGCGGGGGATTAATCCACTGCTCGGCTGCAGCCAGGGGGGACACGGGGGGGGCCGAGGGAGACTTTGGGGGGGCTGAGGGGCCCTGAGAGGACCCAGATGAGGTTTAAGGGGACACTGGGGAGGTGAGTGGGATATTGGGGGGCTGTGGGAGACGTTTGTGGGGCTGAGGGGGCCATGAGGGTACAGGGAAGGTTTGGGGGGGCATTGGAAGCCGTGGCGGTACAGAGAGGTCTGTGGGGCACAGTGGGGGGGGTGAAGGGGAGCACTGAGGGCACCAAGTGGGACATTGAGAGGCTTTCGGGACGTTTTTGGGGGTCTGAGGGGACACTGGGTGGTCAGTGGGCCCCGGGGATCTCTGTGGGTGCCGAGGGGTCCCGTTGGGTCCCGGGGGTCTCTTGAGGGATCACCGGGGTGGTCCCGACGAGCCCCGGGGCGGGCGGGGCCGTTCCCGCCAAAACTCCGCCTCAGCCGTTCCCGCGCAAACCGCGGCGCGCGCTTCCCGCGCCACGCCCCTCGGCGACAGACCACGCCCCTTCTGGTCAGGCCCCGCCCTCGCCGCGCTTTCCGGCCTTTTCGCGACTCCCCCTTTTCCCTTTACGGCCGCGCTGGAGTTTTACGACCGTCGGGGTGGGGGAACGGAGTCCCGGGGGGTGTGGGGGTCTTTGGGGGTCCCGGGGAGTTTGGGGGTCTTTGGGGTCCGGGAGTTTGGTGTCCTTGAAGGGGGTTTGGGGGTGCGGCGGCCTCGGGGGGAGTGCAGGAATGGAGGGGGTTTTGGGGGGCCCTGGGGGTGTTTTAGGGGGTTCCCCAGTTTAAGCTTCTCCTGCCCGTCCCAGGGGCCATGGCCGGGGCAGAGCGGGACCGGCGAGGGGCGGCCGAGGAAGAGCAGGAGGAGGAGGAGGAGGAGGAAGAAGAGCAGGAGGAGGAGGAAGAAGAAGAGCAGGAGGAAGAAGAAGAGGAGGAAGAGCAGGAGGAGGATGGAGTAAAGAAAGAGAGTCCCGAGGGCTCCCCCGCCGCGGCCGAGGCGCCCCCCGGGCCGCCCCCCAAGCCGGTGGTCCCGGGGGTCCTTTACTTGTCCTTCCTCCCCCCGGGCTTCGGGCCCCGCCAGGCGCGGGCACTGCTGCGGCCGCACGGGGAGCTGGGGAGGATCTTCCTGCAGCCCAAGGGTGAGTCCGGGGGGCTCGGGGGGAGCTGGGGGGGTCAGGGTGCCCCATGGAGCCCCTGGAGGTACAGAAATGAGATCGGGGGGGGTCTAACCCCCCCTGGGTTGGGGTCCTCTCACCCCCCCCGTCTTTCCCCTCCGCAGGGGGGTCTGTCCGGCGGCGGCGGCAGCGGCCGGGGGGCCACACGGGGGGCTCCTTTGCCGAGGGTTGGGTGGAGTTTCGGGACAAACGCGCGGCCAAACGAGCGGCCAAACTCCTGCACGGGACCCCCATGAGCTGCCGGCCCCGCAGCCCCTTCCGAGAGCACCGCTGGAGCCTCAAGGTGGGCGGGGGCTGGGGGGGATGAGGGACACCCCAAAACCACCGGGGGGGATCGAGGGAGGGGTTTGGGTCCCTGGCAGGGTGGGTGTGTTGGGGGAGGGGGGGCGGGGCGGCCCTTCCTGCACAGCCGGGTGAACACGGCGGGGGTTTGGCACCCCAAAACTTTATGGGGAGGGGTAGAGGGGGTTTGGGGAGGGCGTCTCTGCCCGTGTTGAGGGGTATTGGGGGGTGTTTCGGGGTGTTTAATTGCCCCCTTTGCCCCCCCAGTCCCTGCCCAGGTTCAGGGGTATTTAGGGGTGTTTTGGGGGTGTTTAATTGTCCCCTCTTCCCCCAGTACCTGCCCGGGTTCAGGGATATTTAGGGGTGGTTTTGGGGGTGTTTAATTGCCCCCTTTGCCCCCGCAGTCCCTGCCCAGGTTCAGGGATATTTAGGGGTGGTTTTGGGGGTGTTTAATTACCCCCTCTGCCCCCAGTCCCTGCCCAGGTTCAGGGATATTTAGGGGTATTTAGGGGTGGTTTTTGGGGTGTTTAATTGCCCCCTTTCTCCCAGTCCCTGCCCGGGTTCAGGGATATTTAGGGGTAGTTTTTGGGGTGTTTAATTGCCCCTCTCCCCCCAGTACCTGCCTGGGTTCAGGGATATTTAGGGGTGGTTTTTGGGGTGTTTAATTACCCCCTCTCCCCGCAGTACCTGCCCGGGTTCCGCTGGCCCCACCTGAGCGAGCGGCTGAGTTACGAGCGCCAGGTGCGTGCCCAGCGGCTCCGGGCTGAGGTTGCCCAGGCCAAGCGGGAGGGGGGGTTTTACACCCGCCGGGCCCCCCCTCGGGACCCCTCCGGAGACTCCAAAGATTCCAAAGGCCCTGCCAACCCCCCCCGGCCCTGGGGCTTCACCCAGAGAGCCACCGAGGAGGAGATCTGGGGGCGCAAAGCTCGGCCCCCCCCGGCCGCGCCCCCCCGGCGGCTGCTGGAAAAGGTTTTTGGGGGAGGGGGGGGCTGAGCTCCTCTCGGCCCCTCCCCCCCGTCCCGTCCAGGCTCACCCCAAAGCTCCGTTCGTTCTCCTTAAAACTTTTATTACTTTTAACAAAAATAATTCCTCGCGGTCTCTTTAATTCTGCCGAGGGGGCGGGGCCGGGGAGGGGGCGGGGTTATGGCTTGGCGCGAATCCCTGAAAGCAGCGCGGGGGCGGGGCCAAGGGGACAGACCACGCCCCTCGTAAATAGAGCGGGGCGTGGCCTGCAGGGTCACAGCAGGCGGAAGACGCGCGTGGGCGGGGGTCTAACAGAAGGGGCGGGGCTTAACTCAACCACGCCCCCGCCTTAAAGGGGCCGCGCAATGGGCGGGGTCCACCTTAAACCTCTACGGGGCTGGGTCCTAAAGGGGCCGCGCCCCCAATTTTCGGGGGGGCGGTTCCAGTGTCAAAAATAGAAACTCTGGGGGTGGGGGAGGGGCCCCAGTTTGGCACTGGGGGGAACTGGGGCAACAAAAGAACTTTTGGGGCCCCCTAAACCTGATGTCCCCAAACTGGGGGGTTGGGGTGGGGAACCCACCCAAAAAACGGGTGCTGGGGGCACCCCAAAATCCCTGGGAAACAAAACGAGGGGTGGTACCGAAGTGGGCCCCACCCTCCCCCAAATGTGGGGTGGTGCCACCCAAAAATGCCATTTCTGGGGTCCCTCAGCCTTGGGGTGTCACTGGGGGAGGGGCTGGAGGGGGTTCACATACAGGAGGGTCCTGGATCCCCCCAAAGGGGGATGGGTCCCCCCGGGGACCCCCAGTGCCCCTCCCCCACCCCCTCCGAGTCCATCCCCAAATCCACTCCCCACCCCAAAGGTGCAACACCCAAATCCTCCCACCCCACCCTCACATCCCTCAACCTTTGCTCCCCGCTTTCACCTCCCTCGTTTTCCTCCCCCTCCAAATTCCACATTCCCCCTCCGAACCCCCATTTCCTTCACCCCAATTCCAGTTCCTTCCTCCATCACTTCCAGCCCCCCATAATTTCCCTTCCTTTCCCATTTGCCTCCCCCACCTCTGTCCCCCTTTGTCCCTCCCCCAAAAATCCACCTTCCCAATTTATTCCCGTGATTCCTCCCCTCCCCCCAACCCCCAGTCCTCTCCCTCCCTTTGGTCCCCCCACCCCAACACCCCCTCCTCCCTCTCAGTGTCCCCCGTGGCCAGGCAGGGCCGGCAGCAGCGACCCCCCCTCACCAGGACGTGGCAGCGGGGCCCGGGGGGGCCGCCGGGGGGGCCGGGGCAGGGCCCGTAGGCCTCGAGGTCGCAGAGCAGCTCCACGAGGTCGAGGACGGAGCGCAGGGGGGGTCTCCGGGCCAGCACCTCGTGCCCGGGGGGCACCGGCCGCCCCCGGGCCACCAGCACGCGGAAGGCCAGCCCGGGGTTGAGCAGCACGGCGGCCTCGGCCATGGGAGAGCGGGGACAGCGCTGCACCAGCCGCAGCCCCCGCCCCCGCCCGGCCCGCCCCACCACCCCCAGTGAGCGGGGAGGGGGATCTCCAGCAGCTCCTCCAGGAACGAGCCCGGCCAGGGCGGCGGCTGTGCCTGAGGCAGCGGCAGCGGCTGCGGGGGAGGAGGAGGAGGAGGGAAAATGGGACCCCCTGAAATCGTGAGGAACGTCCTGAGAGAAACCCCCCAGTTCCCTCAAGAGCCTCAGGATCACCCCCCTGCCCCCACAGCCATGAGGACACCCCTTCTTTAAGACCCCCCCTAAAGCCCTGAGGACCCCCACAAAAGTCCCCTCCCCAGTTCAACAGGATCCCAGAAAGCTCCCCCACTAAAGGCCCCAGGCTGCCTCCCTCCACCCCTCCAAACCCTCAGAGCCCCCTAAGACCCCCACCCCAGACTCATAAGAGCCTCAGAACCCTCTCAGGTTTCTTGAGACCATCCCCAAATTCTGCACCCCCCATCCCCGTACAGGAACAACCACATGAGACCCACCCAGCCGTGGGACCCCCCCACTGCCCCAAGCCCAGCAGCTCCCCCTGTTCCTCACCACTTGGCTTCCTCCCTCCTCCTCCTCTTCCTCCTCCTCCTCACTCTCACTCCAGTACCACCAGCGGGGCCGGGGGCCAGGGGCACCTGGTGGGGAGATGGGGGTGAACCCCGTGAGGTTTGGGGGGTCAGGGAGGGAGCCCCCCCCCCAAACCCGGGGTCCAAGCCCCCTTACCGGCACCAGGGACGCGCTGGGCTGGGGCTGCTCCTGCTTCACGCGGGGGTGGCGGCGATCAGGACCCCAGATCTCCTGGGGGGCTGCGGGGGGGAAGGGGTGTTACTTGGGGTCCCAGGCACCTGAGGAGGGGGAGGGCACAGGGGTTCCACTCACCGGTGGGGGCCACGCTGGGCTCTGGGGGCCCTTTGAGCCGGGGGCTGAGGCGATGAGGAGCCCAGCCGGGGTCCTGGGGGCGGGGGTCAGTGGGGGCCCCAACATCTCCAGGGGGGGTCCCAGGCGGCCGGGGGATCTCACCTCGAGGCGGGGGAGGGGCCCCACCTCCTCCTTGATGGGACAGAGGCGCAGGGGGGGCCCTGGGAGGGGTCCAGGGCCCTGTTCAGGCCCCCCCAGAGGCTCCTCCTTGTCCTGTGGGGGAGGGTCACGTCAGGGAGAGGCCACCCAGGGCATCCTGGAGATCCCCCCTCATCCTCCCCCAAAAGGGACCCAGGTGTCAGGGGGGACCCCCAACCCACGGGGAAACTGAGGCACAGACAAGCCTTGGGGTGACGAGGGGGTCCCCAAAATCCCCCTGAGCCCCCCCAGAGTGCCCTCCTGGACACCTGGGTCCCCCCCCACCCGACGCCTGGGTCTCCCAGGGGGGGTCTGTGCAGACAGAGCAGCAGAGCAAGCACAGCAAAGGAGGGGGGGGCAAACTTGGGGGGAGAGAGACTGGGGGGACCCAGAGGAAAGATTTAGGGGGTGAGGTTATTTGGAGGGGTGAGGAGCGTTTCGGGGTCCCCCTGACGGAGGGGGGGTCCCGTTACCTGGCGGGGCGGCGGGCAGGCGGCGGCTCCGGGTGGCGGCGCGGGGGCCGGGGGCCGGCGGCGGCGGGGGCCTGGACGGGGGAGGGGCGGCCGCTCCAGGGGGTCCCCCAGCGACCCCCCCACACCGGCAGCAGCCGCCTCTGCGCCAGGAGAGAGACCTCAGGTGGGGGGGGGTGCACCCCAATTTAGGAGGGGATGTGGATTGGGAGGGGGAAAGGGAACAACCTCTTCAGGGAGACCCAGGTGACCAAGGACCCCCCCTGCCCCCCTACAAAAGGACCCAGAGTGAGTCCCCCCAAAGCCAAGCAATGCAGAAAGGACCCAGGCGTCCAAGAGATCCCCCCAAAACAGGACCCAGGCGTCCAAGAGACCCCCCAAAACAGGACCCAGGCGTCCAGGCACCACCTGGGTACCAACCAACCCCCTCCCTTTCCCCTCCAACTAGTCCACAATGGTCTGAACTGGTCCCACCCAGCACTGAGGGGGTTGGGGCAACCCCAGCCATGCTCGTGCCTCAGTTTCCCCAGACAAAAGGTGGGGAGTTGTTGGGGAGGGGGCGGAGGGGCTGTGGCTGGGGGCTACTGGGAAGCACTGGGAGGTCACTGGGATGAAGCAGGGGCGGGCACCCACCATGGCACAGCGCAGGCACTGCCTCCAGCGGCACTTCTGGCGCTTGAGGTTCTGCCCCCCGAACTTGGGCTTGTCCCGGCAGAAGTCGCAGCGGCCGCAGTCGGCCGGGCGCCGACAGGCCGCACACACCCCACAGCGCCGGCTGGCCCTGCTCCTCACCCCCCGCTGGGGAGAGACAGGGGTCACCCGGGACCCCTGGAACCCCCCAGGGCACCCCCGGGGCTGTCAATGCGGGAGTGGCTGTTAGGAGCATTATGGTAGCAGGGGGTGCAGTATTAGGGGCATTACGGCAGCCAAGCGCCAGCAGCAGGTTAGGCTGAAGCCACAGGTTAATTAGGAAGGAGCAGCTATTAGGGGCACTGGGCTATCTGAACCCCACTATGTGGGTCATTACAGTATCTACAACCCACTATTACAGTGCCCTGGATCCTGATGTTATGTCTAAAACACTTATTAAGGATGTTATGGTCACTGAACACCCTATTAGTCATGTTGTGGTGTCTTAGCCCCACTATTAGGGGCGTTACGGTACCTCAATCGCACCATCAGCCACGGAACAGCTCCTGGGCTGTGATGGCCCCAGCATTAGGGGTATTACGGTAGCCACACCCCACTGCATGTGAAGTTTGAATGCACTGAGCACCAACATTCAGCGTGAGAGCAGCTCATAAAATCATTCTGGCACCTGCACTCCGTTATTCCAGGGGCTGAAGCCTGACATTAGTGCCTGACACAGCTACCAGGAGCATTATGGCACCCATATTATATCACCTGAATCCCAAACCTATCACAATTCGTGCAGGCTCCACTATTAGGAACATTGCGGCGCCCTACCCCTAATAGCTGCACCGGGGCGGGGCCAGGGCTCGAAGGGGCGGGGCCAAGGGGCTAGGGGCGTGTCCGAGGGGCGGGGCCAGGCGCTGTCACTCACCCGGGGCCCGGAGGGCTTCGGGGGTCGGCCGGGCTTCTTCTTCTCCTTGCCCTTGGTCAGCGGCTTCTGGGGGGAAAGGGGGTCAGTGGGGGTCAAGGGGGGTGCCCAGGGGTGTCTGGGGGGGCCCAGAGGTATCTGGGAGGGCCCACTCACCCTGTGTTTGGTGCCGGGGTGTCGCTGGGCTCTCGCTCCACAGGGGCTTCCACTTCTGGGGGAGAAGATGGGGGTGAGGGAGACACCCAGGGGTCCTGGCCCTGCCCCACCACGGGGGTCCCACACTCACCTCTGTCAGGGCCTGGGGGCTCTGGGTCTTCTTGGCTGCCTTTGATTTCTGGAGGGACACAGGGAGAGAGGGTTGGGGGACTGAGGAGCGGGGGCAGGGGGACACCCCAGGGTAGAGAGGAGGGATGGTGGGGGGTCCCAAGGTGGGGGGGCCAGTGGGGGTCCCACCTTGGGCAGAGGCAGCACCATTGGTGTTTGAGGGGGAGGTCTGGGGGGTGACCCCAGGGGGGTGAGTGACTCTGGGGGTTCCAGGGGGTCCCAGAGGGGGGTCCCAAAACGGGGGATGTCCCATAGGGGGGTGTCCCAGAGGGGAATGTCCCAGAAGGGGGATGTCCCACCCTAGGGCAGAGGCAGCGCTGCCTCAGGCAGCACCACCGGTGCTGTAGGGGTAGGTTGGGGGTGACCTGCGGGGTGCTGGAGGGTGACCCCAAGGGGTGGGTGACCCTGGGGGTCCCAGGGGGGGTCTCCCACCTTGGGGCGGAGGCAGCGCCGCCTCAGACAGCGCCACTGGCGCTTGAGGCCGGGCTGGAGCCGCCTCAGGCAGATGCAGCAGCTGCCACAGTCCTCGGTGCAGAGACAGCCGGGACATGAGCCACAGCCCAGGCCCTGGGACACGGGAGAGCAAGGTGAGTGTGGGAGAACATGGGAGAACGTGGTTAACATGGGAGAACACAGGAGAACATGGGAGAACATGGGTTTACATAGGATAACATGGAAAAACACGAGGGAACATGGGAGAACGTGGCTTCACAAATGTTCTCACACAGGGTATGGCATCAGAGACCTGACAAAGAGGATGGATAACCTGGCACATGCACAGAGCTGTGACAGTGACACCAGGGGCTGTGACAGTGCTGGGAAGGGTGTGACAGTGCCAGGGGGTGACAGTGCCATAGGGGGAAGTTGACAATGCTGGGGGAGTGTGACAGTGGCAGGGGGGTGACAGTGCCAAGAGGTGTGTGTGACACTACCGGGAGGGGTGTGACAGGGCTGGGTGGGTGTGACAATGCTGGGGAGGTGTGACAATGCTGGGGAGGTGTGACAATGCTGGGGGGTGTGACAATGCTTGGGGGTGTGACAATGCTGGGGGGTGTGACAATGTTGGGGGGTGACAATGCTGGGGGGTGTGACAATGCTGAGGGTGACAATGCTGGGGGGTGACAATGCTGGGGAGTGTGACAGGGCTGGGGGTGTGTGACAATGTTGGGGGTGTGACAATGTTGGGGGATGTGACAGGGCTGGGGGGTGTGACAATGTTGGGGGGGTGTGACAGGGCTGGGGGTGTGTGACAATGTTGGGGGGTGTGACAATGCTGGTGGGGGGGTGTGACAATGCTGGGAGGGTGTGACAATGCTGGGGAGGTGTGACAGCACCAGGGAGGGGTGTGACAATGCTGGGGGGGTGTGACAGCACTGGGGGGGTGTGACAATGCTGGGGGGGTGTGACAGCGCCGGGGGTGCCGGTACCTTCTTGACAATGCGCAGGCAGCGGCGCAGGAGGCACTTGTTGGGCCAGGCAGGGCCGGGGGGGCCCCCGGGGGGGCTGCGGGAGCAGGCGCTGCAGATGCCACAGTCCTCGGGGATGCGACAGGCCTGGCACAAGCCACAGCCCACCCGCTGGGGTGGGGGGCAGGGGGGGCACAACACAACCCGCCAAGGGATCAGGGGAGGCACAACACGATCCCCCAGACCCCTGTGATGGACTGGGGGGGGGTAAAACAGCCCCCCGAATCTCTGAGGGACCAGGGACACTCCCCTCAAACTCCCCAAGGGGTCCCAGGGGACACCCCCTCCAAAGGATCTGGGGGGGGCACAACATCCCCCCAAACCCCCAAGGGACCAGGGGAAAACCCCCAAACCTCCTGAGAGAATGTGGTGAATAACACTCCCCCCCCACAAAGTCTCTGAGGGATCCAGAGGGGCACAACAGCCCCCAAACCCCTGGGGAGCCACAGGGTCACAACAGCACCCTCAAACTCGAGGAAGCAGGGGCAACCTCCCAAAAATCCCTGAAGGATCCAGGGGGGGTCAGGGGTACCTTGTAGAACCGCTGCTCCCGGTTGAAGTCTCGTCTCTGGGCTGGGGGAGAGATGGGGGGATGGTCAGAGTCACCCAACTTACCTGGGACCACCTTCCCCCTGGGGCACCCTGACCCCCTCCCCGACTGCCCTGGGGCTCCCTGGGCCCCTCCAGGAACCTTGACCCCTCCCCCCCCCCAATTCCTTTCCAGAAGAGCCCAAAATACAGAAAAAACCTCTGACAAAAACGAGAGAGATGATGAAAAAGGCTCTGATGAGGATGATATGAGGAGGGTTGTGAGGTTGGGAAGGAGAGCAGAAAGAAGGCACTCAGGCACAGGAAGAACATGATGAGGAGAAACAAGAAGACTCCAAGGAGCAGGAGGAGGATGGGGAAGATGAGGAAGAGGGTGGGATGAAGGCTTTGGGGGGCAGGAAGAAGATGAGGAAGGTAGGATGATGGTTCTGGGGGGCAGAAGTAGAATGAGGAGGATGAGGAGGAAGGCTCCAGGACGCAGCAGGAGGATGAGGAGTGCACTGAGGCCGAACTCACCGCGGCAGTCGGGGCAGAGCCAGCGGCAGCGGCGCTGGGGAGGAAGAGACACCCCCGGGAAGAGGCTCTGGCAGCTGGCACAGAGACTGGGGGAGAGGGGGAGGGCGTTAGAGGGGGTTGGGAAACCCCAGCACCCCCCCCAGGGACCTCCCTCCGACCCCAAACCTCCCCAGGGACCTCCCTGGTCCCCAGCCCAACCCCCAGAGACCCCTCCCGGCCCCCAAACATCGCAGGGACCCCCTCCCTTCCCCCCACCCTCCCTGGGCTCTGGGGTAACACCCACCCAACCCCCTCCTCTGGGATCCCCTCCTGTCCCCAAACCCCCAAGAGGGGATCCAGGACCCCCACCCCTGCCCCACTCACGCCACACTCCCATCCTGGGGGTTCCGGGGGTCGTTTGCAGGTCCTGCGCACGAGGGGCTCTCGGGTGGGGCGGGGCCTCGGCGGGTGGGGGCAGGGCCACAGCAATCAGGGGCGTGGGCTCGACAGGAGGAGGCGTGGCCACTGCGGGAGGGGGCGGGGCCTGTGCCTGCAGGGGTGGGGCCTCCTTGGCCTCAGCCCCACCCCCCTCCTCCCCCTCCTCCCGGGGGGTCTCTGGGGGGTCCAGGGGGGGCCCCACGGGAAGGCGCCATTTGGGGCCTTTTCTGGTCTGAGGAGAAAAGGGAGAGATGAAACATTCTGGGCAAGCCCCCATCACCCCCCATATTGTGACTCCCCTCTGCCCCCCCCCAGTCTGGAGCTCCCCCATCTCCCTCATTCTGAGGAGCTCTTTTTATTCTCCACTTTATTTTCCCCTTAAATTTCCTCCCAGCCCCAAACCCCCAATCCAAACCCTTTAATTCACCCCATCAATTTTTAGGACACACCCCCGCCCTGGAGTTTTAGGGTGATCCACCCCTCCCCCCACCGCTCCAGGGGACCTTTGGCTTTCCCTCCCTGGGGTTTTTTGGGGTCCCCTGGGTTCTGAGCTCCCTCCCCAGGGTTTTGGGGTCCGTACCCGGGGGGTCCCGGAGCGCTGCAGCCCCGATTTGAAGTCGAAGTTGCTCAGGTCGTGGCCGGGGCCCAGGAACCTCCTCAGCTCGATCTTACTGCGGAACTTCTGCCCTGTGGGGCTGCCGGGGGGGGGCGTCAGGGCCGACCCAGAGAGCCCCCAAACCCAGGGGGAGACCCCAAAATCCGAGGGAGGGGACCACTGACCCAGGGAAACCGTGGGAGGGAGGAGCAGGAACAGGGAGGGGGAAATCAATGGTGGGGGGCCAACACAGCTCAGCAGACCCCAAAGCTCCCCCTGAGCCCTCAATGGTTTGGGGTGGGGTTGGGAAAATTTGGGGGGGAAAGGGCTGGAAAGATTTGGGGGCGCAGGGCTGAGGGAGGGGTTGGAATGGGAGGACAATGAAATGACCCCGGGGGGGGCTCCTGAAACCACCCCTGGGAGGGGCAGAGACACCACGGGGGGTGAGTGGGGGTGTTTGGGGAAGCCCCCAAACTGCAGGGAGTGGGGCCAAGGACTGGGGGAGGGGCTTGGACACGAGGGGGAGGAGCTGTAACTGGCCACATCCCCGGAGACATTTTGGGGGGTCCTTGGGCCCCTTTGGGGCGGGGAGGGGGTGTTGGTTGGGAGGGGGGATGGGGAGCACGTGGAAATGGGAGGTGGGGTCGGGGTGTCAGGAGGGTGGGGAGGGTGCCGGGAGGGTGGGGAGGGCACCTCCTGTAGTAGGTGTCGCTGCGGCCGCTGGTGGCCCCCGATTTCCGAAAGGCTTCGCGGCGCTGCCACCCGGGCCCAGCGCAGGGCACTCGGCCCAGCCCTCGGCCATCCTGGGAGGCTGCTGCCCGGGGAGAGGGGTGTGTCAGCACCGGAACGGGCTGCCAGAACACCCCCAAATCCCTCCGGGACCCCAAACCCCCAGAGACCCCAAAACGTGCCCCCGCCCACAGCACCCCCTTCCCCGCAGGGGTCCTCGAGGCCGCGCCCCCAAACACAGCCAGGCCACGCCCTCGCGTCACCTCCCCACGTGATCCCCTCAAAACCCTCCCCTCCCCTCCCGCGCTGCCCTCCCCACACAAACAACACCGAGCAGCCCCTCCCCTCAGAAACAACCCCCAAAACTCCCCCTCTCCACAGCTCGCGCGCCCTCGGAACTCCCCACTTTGCCTCAACAACTCCAAACCAGCTCCCAAACTCCCTCTCCCCCTCACGCCCCCAAAAAACAACGCCCAAACCGCCCCTCTCAAAATACTCCCCCACAACCCCCTTCCCTTCACACCCCCACCCGCCACACCCCTCCCACCCGAACTCCCGCTCCCCAGTAACAACACCCCAAAACCTCCCTGTTCGTCTCACGCCCCTCTCCCGCAAAAATCACCGCCTAAACAGCACCCTCCCTCAGAAACCCCTCACAAACCACCCCCACAAAATCCTCACAAACCGCCCCTCCTCACAAACCGCCCCTCCTCACAAACCCCTCACAAACCGCCCCTCCCCACAAACCCCTCACAAACCGCCCCCTCAAAAAAACCCTCACAAACCGCCCTCCCGCCCCGCTCACGGCCTCCTCCCCCTTCCCGTTTCCCACACGCACCCCCTGTGCCTCCCCCGCTCACACCCCCTAGCTGTTCTCATCCCCCCTGGCCGTTCCCGTCCCCCCTCACCGTTCCCATCCCCCCCCGCTGTCGCGGCCGTTCCGGTTCTTCCTCCTCCTCCTCCTCGCGGCCGCGGGGGCGGGGCCTGGCGCCGGAAGCGGAAGCGCCGCGCGGGAACGGGCGGAGAAGGGGGGTGTGAAATCAGCTGGTCACGTGAGGCCGCAGCGACCAATGGGGATGGGGAGAAGCGAAAAAGGGGGCGGGGCGAGGCGCACCCGCCCAGCCTGGCGTGGACACGTGACCCGCGACGCACGTGACCCAACGGCCGGGCGCGCGCGTGAGGGGCGGGGTCATGCAAATGAAGCGATCACGTGATACGGGAAAATATCCCGCCCCGCCTGCCGAGAGGTCACGTGACGCGGAAAAGAAGGGGAGGCTCCACGCTTTTGCTAGTGCGTTGTGGGCGTGGCTATGCTAATGAGCTGCGACGGTTCCCTTTGACCCCTCAGAGACCCCCCCCGAACTACAGAGCCCCCAAGGACCCCCAAAGCTATCCCCCAGGGACCCTCTAAACACCCCCCAGGGATGCTGAGTCCTACAGAACCCCAAGGGAACTCCACAGGGACCCTACCGGCCCTACAGAACCCCCAAGAACTCTCAGGGGTTCTTGAGCCATAGAGAACACCCAGAGACTCCCCAGGAACCCCCCGGATCCCCCACAGGGACCCCTCCCCAACACCCCCAGGGATCCCTCCCAGCCCATCCCCAGGATGCTGCCCTCATCGCCCCCCTGCCCTCCAGGGACCCCCCAGCCCTCTAAGGGCTCCCCACCCAGCCCCATTAACACCCCCAGCCCCATTAACACCCCCAGCCCACTGACCCCAGCCCCATTAAACTCCCCCAGCCCCATTAAACACCCCCAGCCCCACTGACCCCCTAGCTCCATTAACACCACCCCAGCCCCATTAAACACCCCCAGCTCCATTAACACCCCCAGCCCCATTAACACCCCCAGCCCCATTAACACCTTCTAGCCCCACTGACCCCTCAGCCCCATTAACACCCCCCAGCCCCATTAACAGCCCACCAGCCCCATTAACACCCCCCAGCCCCACAGACACGCCCAAACACGCTTTGTACACCCGATTTATTGGGGAAGGGGGGGAGTGCCCAGGCCTGGGGGGTGGTGGCTGTGGGGGAAGGGGCTGTGTTGGGGGCTGTGGGGGTCCCGTCAGCGCTCGGAGCGCAGGTCGGTGGTGAGGGGGTCGTGCTGGATCGTCTGGTGCAGCATCAGCGCCAGCAGCCCCGCCCGGTTCGTCATGGCCGCCCGAACATTGCGCTCCTGCTCGAACAGCTCGTCCAGCTTGTACCACTGTGGGACAGGGGACAGGGTCAGGGACAGGGGACAGTGTCAGGGGCAGGGACAGGGACAGGGACAGGGACAGCTTGTACCTCTGGGGGGGAAAGGGGACACTGCCAGGGTCAGGGACACTGCCAAAGACAGGGTCAGGGACAGTTTGTACAACTAGGGGACAGGGGACAATGTCAGGGACAGGGACAGAGAGTGGGACAGCTTGTACCACTGGAGGGGAAAGGGGACAATGTCAGGGACAGGGACAGGGGCAGGGACAGCCTGTACCACTGCAGACAGGGGACAACATGGAGTCAGGGTCGGGGGAGTGTGGGGACAGCTTGGGGGACATGGGGACAGAACCAGTGCCACCCGTGGGAACACGGTGACACAGGGACCGCCTTGGGGACACGGGCACGTGGTGAAGGACATCGGGGTGGAGTGTGGGGTCCAGGGGACGCCGTGGGGCCCCTCCTGCCCCCCTGGTGACACCCACCACGCGGACGCGCTCCAGGTCCACCTCGGCGCGGCGCAGCTTCTCCCAGCAGTAGTGACGGTGGCACTTGCGCTTGGGCACGCGGCAGAAATCGCCCGTCAGCTCGAACACGTCCCGCACCAGGGGACACCCACACACCTCATCTGCAGGCACCTGGGGGGCACAGGGACATTGGGGACTCTGGGGACACTGGGAACACCCACACCCCTCATCTGCGGGCACCTGGGGGGTACAGGGACATTGGAGACACTGGGGACATTGGGAACACCCACACCCCTCATCTGCAGGCACCTGGGGGGCACAGGGACATTGGGGACACCCACACACCTCATCTGTGGACACCTGGGGGGCAGTGAGGTCAATGAGGTGCTGGGGGTCCCAGGAGCACCCACAGATGTGCCCTATAGTACCCATTGGGGCATCTGCCCCCTCCCACCCCCTGTGCCCACCGTGGGGTCCCAGGAGTGCTCTGGGCACAGCACCTGCCCCCCCCAGCCCCCTTTTGCCCCCCATACCCACCTTGGGGTCCCGGGAGTGCTCCGGGCACAGCACCTGCAGCCTCTTGCAGTAGGTTTTGCTCTGGGGGTTGTAAACGTCGCAGAACAGGCGGGTGGCCCTGGGGGGACACACGGGGTGATGGGGAGGGGGGCACACAGGGTGTCTGGGGGGGCACAGGTGTGTGGGGTAATCCCCCTCCCGTCCCAGGCAGCCATAACTGCCCTTCCCCTGCCCAGGGGGATCCAGGGGGCTGGAACCCCCCTCCCCTCCCCACTCACCCCTCGATGCGGGTGGGGTACATGGACCCAAAGGACGTTTGGCTCTCGTACTGCAACAGAGTGGGGGGGTCAGTGGGGTGCAGGGATGGGACCCCCAAGACCCCCTGAGGCCCTACAGAGCCCCAGTGGACCCACAGCCCCTGTAGAACCCACCCAGTGCCCCCCAGGCAGGGTCCCTCTGGACCTCCCAGCCTTCCTGGACACCCTCCATGGGGTCCCCGTGGCTTCCCAGCCCCTATGGAACCCCAAGCAGGTCCCTACAGCCCACCCAGAGGACACCAGGACCCCTATAAAGGCCCCCCAAGGCTCCCCAGTGGGGTCCCCACGTGTCCCCCAGCACCCCCCAAAGCCCAGGAACAGGATCCCTGTGGTCTCTGCAGAATCCAGGGCTGGTGCTGATCCTGGGAGGCTCCCAAAGGGTTCCCCAAGAGCCCATGGAGCCCCCAGGGTCCCGTATATCCCATGGATCCCACAGATCCCGTGGATGATCCCACAGATCCCAGGAAGCCACAGGAGCCCACAGGTTCCTGTGGCTCCCCCAGGCTCCCCCCAGACCCCAGGGATCCCCTGGAACCCCCCAGATCCCAGGATACCTTGGCGTAGCAGCGCTCCATGTGCCGCAGGGCCACCTTGGGGTTGATGGGGTGGCCGCAGGAGACGCAGAAGATCTGCAGGTCCGTGTCCTCACTGTCCCCCTCTGTGCTCTGGGGGGACACAGGGCAGTCAGGAGGCGTCCACAGGGATTAGGGGGGACACAGGGATCGGGGGGACACCCAGGGTTAAGGGGCTCAAGGACCACCAGGGGTTAACAGGTTTGGGGTGACCCAGGTGTATGTGGGGAACCCGGTGGGGGGATGAGGGAGGACCCAGGATGGGGGAGGTTGAAGGGTTTGGGGGGGGTCTCCAAACCTCCAGGAGGTGTGTGCTGGTGTTCAGGGGTCCCTGGGGGAAACTGGGGGTCCCTGGGTGCCCTCAGCTCCTCATCCTTGTGGGGTGGGTGCCCCTTGGCGTGGACACCTCGAGCTCATGGAAGGGGTTTGGGGGTCCTGGGGGGTTTTGGGCTTCAGGGGGACTTTGGGGGTCCCCCCCTCCTCATCCTCGCGGGGCGGGTGCCCCTTCACATGGGCAATGAGCCCCTCGAGCTCGTGGGAGGGGTTTGGGGGTCCCAGGGGATTTCGGAGCTCAGGGGGGTCCTGGAGGGTTTCAGGGGGTCCCCACCTCCTCATCCTCGCGGGGCGGGTGCCCCTTGGCGCGGGCGATGAGCCCCTCGAGCTCGTGGAAGCGCCGCTCCATCTCCTGCAGCCGCAGCCGCGCCTGGTGCTGCTCCCGCCGGATCCGCTCCAGGAGCCGCTTCCCGTGTTCCTCGGCCACGCACGGGCTCTGCTGCCACTGCTGGATCCGCTGCGGCAGGATCTCGTAGATCCGGCTGGGAACGGGGTGGGATGGGGTTAATGGGCACTCCAGAACCCCTTACAGGGATGTCTGGGATCCACTGCTGGATCCGCTGCGGCAGGATCTCGTAGATCCGGCTGGGAATGGGGTGGGATGGGGTTAATGGGCACGCTGGGATGCTGGGATTGAGTGTGGGATCCATCCTGGGAATGGGTGTAC